AAGCTAGAATCCTCCACTCACACCTTTGACCAGTACATTCCAGCACAAACGAATTTTTTTTTAGTTGTCGTTTGCTTAAAATGGAACGTATTCTTTATTGCATAAATCGCAATACCAATCTGACATTCCTCTTTGCTAGCAAAAACCTTACCTTTGTATATCCCTTGCCCATCATCATCATAATCAAGATCTGGAATGTCATCACCCTCATATTCAGTGTCATCAAATAAAGGTGGTAAATCAAATTCCTCGTCGTCTATATCCTCCACCTTTCGATTACCCACATCTGGGACATTTACGTATCCATGCTGACTCGACCACATGGAAGCCCGCTGACCGGACGCTCTATCCACATGGACAGTATCATTACTGGGTTTACTTTCTTCTTTCAAAACATCGGCATGATCAAAGCCTGCTTTTGTGCTACAGATTACATCCACCACATTTACCCGACCAAACTGCTCACCAATGAAATTACCCCAGAACTCTTTATCATACGATGTTGGTGTCACATACACATCCCTCTCATCAATTAATTCTTCTTCTACATAATCTTCGAACAAATCACCCCTCTATTTAGAACTACTTTCTGGGTAATCAGGAAATCCACCCCCTCCGGCTTTTGAACATTTTTTCCTAGACTCTTCTTTTAGCCTCACCTCTGTTTCTGCAACTTCAGCTAGGAACCCTTCATCCTCCTGTGTTACATCAATTACAAATGTCTTCGATCCAGCGGTTGATATCTCTCCTAAAATTTCCTCACCATCATCACTTTTGCTCATACCCCCAGAGTTTCCACAACTCCTCTTTCTACCACCATCGCTCAAACTCTCCCTGATTTCGGCTACTTGCTCTACCTCCTTCTGTGCTCTTTTCCGGTTATCTTCAAATGTCACAAACATACTCAAACCTCTATTACCAACAAGCATTTCCACGTAATACTCAAGCCCAACATCAGTAGTTACCATCACCGGAGGTGCTCTGAACACATTCGCTAGTTGCAAGCTTCGTGGGAGACAGTAGCTCAGATTCGCCTTCTTATTAACCAAACCGAATTCTTCAACAACAGCTGCTTGTAGTTCGCAAAGCTTTGTCGTCCTCGTCAGCGAAACAACCCTTGAAAGCAAGAACTGGTCTACTTTGAATTCACTGCCGTTGTCGCTAGAGAACCCCCATTTCCCACAAACCACCACACAGAAGCCAGGAAATCCATTCTGCAAAACAGAAAAACTTATTAGGATTTTACCACAGCAACAAAATTACCACAACCCAAACACCTATCCACAAAGGCTTACCTCCGCAGCCATGGCTCCGTAAAAACCACACAAAAACCCTAAACTGAGCTTTTATGTTATTTATCCACAGGAAACATACATTATATGTTATTAACCTTCTTTCAAAATCTCACCGTCCAATGCCAAACAGTAGTCATGATCCAACGCATAGAAATGCTTCCAACCTACACCATTAAGCTGGGGGCAATTTCGTCTTTGTACGTTTGCCTCTCTTTACAGAAAGTGTACAAAAGTATAGTAAGAGCAGTAAGTGTGTCTATGTGCTAACAAAAGGAAACAAAGTAGGTCTATGTGTTATTCACCCTACTTTCTAATACACTTCATGTTATGTAGAAATAGGTTGAGAAGGCTGGTCACTTACAAGTTCCCATTTTTACCAAGTCTGATCAATCAGTAATGAATTTTAGCTCTGCTATAGGTGCTTCAATCATACACTTCATCGCCAGACAAGTGCACCCAACTTCGTGTGCAAGAAAAACAAACTTCGCCATAGATTCGCAGCTCCCATCATCGTTGGTAATTCGTTCGGATGTGCACAAAACCATTGAAATCCTGTAAAGTTATCGGTAGCCTTCCATGTCTATCAATATAGCATTAGTTACAAATACAACACTATTTATGGCAAAAAGAAATATTTGTTTAGATATAAATGTTATTAAAAAAAATGCTTGGCAAATGCTTTACAAAAGTATAATTATAAAAAATATAAATAATGTTAGGGTTGATGATTTTAAAATAAAGATATAAGATTTTTATCTTATTAAATTATGTTTGATATATTTTATTTATCTTATATAGATTATATTTATTATTTTAGTTTTCGATTAATTAAATTACATAGTAAATTTTGAATGGTTAATTAAGAGAGGGTAAATAAGAGAGGTTAACCTAAGAATTGTCCAATTTATTTTGTTTGGAAAATTAAGTTGTATTAGACTATTTTATTGTTTTGGTGAAATCAATATTTTGTGTGTTTTATCACTAATCCCTAAATTTATCACTATGTCTATAACTAATTAATGCACATTCATAAAATGGGGAATTTCAAAAATACATTTTTCCCATACCACTTTTTAAAAATACCTTATCTTTCAAATTTTATCAAAAAGCCACTAAAATTTTGAAATTTATCAAAACAATATGTGTAAACTTATATATATATATATATAGATATATCTATATATATACAAGTTATCATTATATGTGTGTAATTTTATATATATATTTCATAAATACTGTATAAATACATTTAAAAACCTAATAAAAACCTTATTAAAACCTTGTAAACCTTTAAAAAAACCTTATAAAAACATTATAAAAGCCTTTAAGAACCTTTTAAAACCTTATAAATATTTGGATCATGTAAATGTGTACTTTTGAAATTCTCCCGTAGTTATTTGATTAATATGTTAACTAATATAATATCGTTATAAATTTATAAATTATGTGTTAAATGATTATAATCATATCTTGCTTAATCAGTTATCATAGTTATACATAATTATGAGAAATTTATATTCATGCATAATTTTACTTTTTGGTAATGTGATAAGCTTGATAATTTTTTAAGACAATGAATATCTATAATTATAACGATAACAATAATAATAACGTGGTAAATAATATTATATGTCTTTAATAACAAATATGCAATTATATATAAAAGAGGATAGTTATGATGATTGTGTTGCTCAATCAGTGGGGTAATCGAATCACTCGATCAATGGACGAATGAAGGATGTTGAATCACTCAACAAACTTAATCTGCAGGTTTCTAAAGCACTAAGACCATGATTAATGGTAGGTTCTTAGTGGGTTTTTAAGTAGCTTTATGATTAAATTTAAATGGTTAACTAGGTTTTAATCCGCGGTATACCGCGGGTCGATTTTTTGACTAAAATTTTTATATTTAAATATATATTTTTTTTAAATTTTGCTTAGTGTTTAAAATAGTGTAAGTGTATTTTGATTGTGAATTTTATTACTTATAAGCTCGTTGTATTTGTTTATTAATTTTTAAGTATTTAAGATTGTACAATGATATTGTGATTGTTAATTATATGAATTAACCGGTGGAATACAACATGACAAATTGTTTTGTTATATATAACTGTAATTTAATCAACTTAATTAAGTATGTAAAATATTTTAAATAATGATATGATGATGGCGTATCATCTTTTATTTAACTCATTTTATTTTAGACTAAAATATTTAGTGTGTAAACAGGCCGTAAGAAAAAATATAATCATATTTATATAAGGTCAAACTCGTTCAATCAAATTTATGTAAACTCAAATCCATTCAATCAAATATAATCATAGTTATAAGCATATTAGTCTTATTTATAATGTTTTTGAACCATTGTTTAAAATTTTCTAGCCGATGTGTGATGTTGTACATTTTTTTCTTTATGATTCAGTAATATATGTATGTTTTCAAAAATTCAAATTACAACATATGCGAATTTTTTTTATTATTATACATATGTTATATGTAATAATAAAAATTTTAAAAGAAATAAGATCATATAAAGATATTTGATAGATATTCAATTTATTAAAGAGATATTTTAGGAAAATCGAAGTAGTGGTAGATTTTTTACAAATTTAAACCTTATAGTTAGTAAAATTATAGAAATGACAAGGGTTTATGATTGCAATTAATAAAAAAATAAAAGGTTACTTTCCAAAAGGTACTTCAAAATGTTAATATAGATAATGATAGTAGATAAGACAAGCGGTTTGATAGTGCGGTACGGTTCAACTGCGGTGCATGCGGGACAACTGTAATTGCGGGACAAGTAAAGTAAATGGTGCAAAATAATGTTTGATTGGTGAAAATTTATATGCGGTGCGGATTTCGTATTATTTTATTAATAATTAGGATAATTATATAAATAAATTAATAAATAAATATGTTAAACATTTATGAATCTTAAACACCAAAAATGACTAGAAAAAGATAATTTATTTACATTATATCTTAGAAAATAAAAAAATTATCCATTATATCTTGGACACTATATGAATAAATTAGAAATATATAAATAATTGATATAAGTGTAAATTATTATATGTATTATGTTGATGACAAAGTATTGCATATATATGAACCTAAACTACCCAAATTTATTTAAAATAATTTTTTATATACATATATTTTATGCAGAACTAAAGATTTATTGATAAATTATTAACACTTTCTTGCTATTTATAGCAGATGTGAATTTATTATGATTAATTTTGCTATTTGTAATATAATATTATATATTGCATAATCATATATATTTTTTTCTACATAAGACAATATATTGCTTACCACAAATTTTCATTTATGCAAATTTGGACAATTAACGTATATAAACCTATTTTATTGTTTAATTAATATCATTTAGTACTAATAAATTATGTAAAAGCGGATTTTAAGGTGTCCCGCACCATATTTAAAGCTGTCTATTAAATGGTGCGTTTTTCAATTTGATGAGAGATAAAAAAAAATTGCGGTTTTCCGTTTTTGGTTTTTACAAATCCGCAAACAATATTAATTAGTTGATTGGTGTTATTAATGCGTATTTCCTTTTTTCTGAAAAACGTCCCGCTTATTCTTGTCACCATTCATGGCCTAAGAGAAAAATCATGGGTTAAGAGGCGATGATGTGTAGGATGAGAAAAAAATATATATATTTCTCAACAGAAATAAAAATTAAAAGAGAACAGATCATAGTCAATAAAGTAAAGAAAATCAAACAAAACTAGTCAAATAGAAAAAATAGAAACTTCCGAGTATTGCCACTTGATTTGTTATTTCCGTGAAAACATAAGACAAGAACAAAAAAGAACATAAGCATCATTTCAATCCCAGTCGTGACGGACACACAAGTCTTTCTCACTTACACAAAACAATGACTTCAAATTTCATTACTCGAACGAATGTTCAACGGAGAACCCTTTTGACGGGTGATGGGAGTTTCATTATCAACGACACGACCTGAAGAGAAGTCAAGCACCAAAGTGAAATTGAAGATCTTTTTATTTAAGAGCCAAAACTTTGTATCTAACACCAAGAGAGAAAATAAAAAAAGTGAGTGAGAATGGGTTATGCAGAGAAGAATCCTTACCATCTTTGTTTTCTTTTGATCATATCCATACTTCTAATCTGTTTTATCTCAGCTTCTGCGACTTTCTCAGAAGCAAACGCTCTTCTGAAATGGAAATCTACTTTCACGAACCAGACAAGCTCATCGAAGCTGGCGTCATGGGTCAACAATACTAGCTTCTGTACCAGATGGTATGGTGTTTCTTGTAACTCACAAGGGAGTCTCATAAGGTTAAACCTTACTGATACCGCCATCGAAGGTACTTTTCAAGAATTCCCTTTTTCATCTCTCCCAAACCTTGCTTACATCGACCTTAGCATGAACCGTTTCTCTGGAATTATCCCTCCCCAGTTTGGATCCCTCTCAAAACTCATCTACTTTGACCTCTCTATAAACCAGTTAAATGGAGAAATCCCACCTGAGCTTGGCAATTTAAGCAACCTTGAAACCCTCCATCTTGTCGAAAACAAGTTAAACGGGTCGATTCCATCTGAGATCGGTCACTTAACTTCAGTTCAAGAGATAGCCTTGTATGGAAATTTCTTGTCCGGACCTATACCTACTTCCATTGGAAACCTAACCAATTTGGTTAATTTGTACCTCTTTTCCAACTCTCTTTCTGGTCCCCTTCCTTCTGATATTGGAAACTTAACCAATCTTGTTGAGCTATGCCTAGATAGAAACAACCTGACTGGCCAAATCCCTTCCACTTTCGGAGAGTTGAAGAAATTAACTCTTCTCAACTTGTTTGGAAATCAACTTTCCGGCAAAATCCCCCCGGAGATCGGTGACATGGCCAGTCTAGATTCCCTTAGCCTTCATACAAATAACCTTACGGATTCAATTCCTTCTTCCTTAGGAAATCTCAAGAACCTAACCCTTCTTCATCTTTACCAAAACCAACTAACTGGTGTCATTCCCCCAGAACTAGGCAACATGGACTCAATGATTGATTTAGAGATAAGTAAGAACAAACTTACAGGTTCTATTCCTGATTCCTTTGGCAACTTTACCAAGTTGCAGCTCTTGTTCCTCCGTGAAAACAAGCTCTCTGGTCCGATCCCACCAGGAGTTGCAAACTCTTCAGAGCTTACTGTCTTGGAGCTCGACACAAACAACTTTACTGGTATCTTGCCTGATACCTTTTGCAAAGGTGGCAAGCTTCAGAACCTCACACTAGATGATAATCACTTGGAAGGTCCTATCCCGAAAAGCTTGAGAGGTTGTAAGAGCTTGATCAGAGTAAGATTTAAAGGGAATGGTTTCATCGGAGATATGTCTGAAACTTTCGGGATTTATCCAAATCTCAATTTCATTGATCTCAGCCACAACAACTTCCATGGTGAAATTTCAAGCAATTGGGAGAAGAGTCCAAACCTAGTTGCCTTGATCATGTCAAACAACAACCTCACAGGTGCTTTCCCTCCCAAGATTTGGAACATGATACAACTGGGTGAGTTGGATTTATCTACCAACAACCTTACTGGTGAAATTCCAGAAGCAATTGGAAATCTCACGAATTTGTCAAGGCTACGACTTAATGGGAATCAATTATCTGGAAGAGTTCCTGCAGGAATAAGTTTCTTAACCAATCTTGAGTCTCTTGACTTATCCTCAAACAGACTCAGCTCACAGATCCCACAATCATTTGACTCCTTTAATAAGCTTCATGAAATGAACCTGAGCAGAAACAAGTTTGATGGACGCATTCCCAGACTAACAAAGCTGACTCAGTTAACGCATCTTGATCTCAGCCACAACCAGCTCGACGGAGAAATCCCATCACAGCTCAGCTCCCTGCTAAGCCTCGACATTCTCGACCTCTCACACAACAATCTCTCGGGTCCTATTCCAACAACTTTTGAAGGCATGAGAGCGTTGACATACATCAATATTTCAAACAATAACCTCGAGGGTCCACTTCCAAATACCCCATCGTTTCGAAACGCAACCGCAGATGCATTGGAGGGAAACAAAGGCTTATGCAGTAATGCTCCTAAACAAAGGCTGAAACCATGCCCTATCAGTTCCAATAGGTTCAAGAAATCAAAGAAGAATGAAAACCTTGTTGTGTGGTTACTAGTGCCGATCCTAGGAGCACTTGTCATTCTCTCTACATGCGCAGGAATATTCACCTACTACCTCCGCAAACAAAAACAACACAACAAAGAAAACTCAGATTCTGAAACTGGAGAGAAGTTTTCCATCTGTAGCTATGATGGCAAAGTTAAATACCAAGAGATTATCAAATCAACCAACGAATTCGATCCAAAATACCTGATTGGAAACGGAGGATACGGAAAAGTCTACAAAGCAAAGCTTCCACGCGCAACCATAGCCGTGAAAAAGCTACACGATACAACAGACGAAGAGATATCAAACCCAACAGTGAAGCAAGAGTTCCAAAACGAGGTAAGAGCATTAACAAAGATCAGTCACCGCAACGTAGTAAAGCTCTACGGCTTCTCCTCCTACCGCCACAACACTTTCCTAGTCTACGAGTACATGGAAAAGGGAAGTTTAAGTGAAATATTAGCCAACAACGAAGAAGCTAAGCGTCTAAACTGGACCAAAAGGATCAATATCGTCAAAGGTGTGGCTTACGCGCTCTCATACATGCACCATGACCGACCAACTCCGATCGTTCACCGTGACATTACCAGCAGCAACATCCTTCTCAATAATGATTACGAAGCTAAGATCTCCAATTTTGGCATTGCTAAGTTTCTCAAACCAGATTCCTCCAACTGGTCCACCGTTGCTGGAACCTACGGCTACGTCGCTCCAGGTAAAGATTATCCTATAAACTCAAAATCAAACGAAACTGAAATCAAATTTTGAGCATACGAAATCGAAATTCCCAAATTCGAATTTGAACATATGAAATTGAAATCCCTAAATTCGATTTCAAGCTAACGAAATCGAAATTTTACAAATTCGAATTTAAACTTACAAAATTGGAATCCCTAAATTCGATTTCAAGCTAATGAATTAAAAATCTCCAAATTCAAATTCGAACATATGAAATTGAAATCCCTTTTATTTTTTGGACAAACATGAAATTGAAATTAAAATCCCTAAATTCGATGTTAAGCTTACGAAATCGAAATTTCCAAATTCGAATTCGAGCATATGAACTTGAAATCCCTAAACTCGATTTCAAGCTTACGAAATCGAAACTTACAAATTCAAACACGAACATATGAAATTGAGATCCCTAAATTCGAATCTGAAATTGACTGTGTCTGCAGAATTAGCTTACACGATGAAAGTGACGGAGAAGTGCGATGTGTACAGCTTCGGAGTACTGATATTAGAAGTGATAAAGGGAAAACATCCAGGAGATTTGGTTTCGGCATTATCTTCGTCGTCTCCGGGGAAAGCAACGTCGCTGAGAAGCATTTCCGATGAACGTTTAATAGAACCAGAGGTGGAAGTTAGAGAGAAGATCTTGAAGATGGTGAAAATGGCTTTATTGTGTTTACAAACAGATCCGTTATCTCGGCCAACGATGTTAGAGATCTCTACAGCGTTTTCTTAGAGAATGCTTCTGCTTCGTCACTTTCTTCGACGAGTACGAAATTAAACTTTTTTTTTGTTATATATATATTTTAGCTTAGAACTGTGTTTATCGATGTATCTTCATATGTTGGGTATGGTACTTGGGAATCTCTGTTTGGTTTGAAGCGGTTTAGTTTTGCGATTTGGTAAACCATAACAAAATTAAGAAAAGATGCCAAAATTAAAGAAAATAAATGTTGGTTTGGTTCAATTCGAATCTTGGTTAATTACAATTCTGAAAATCGAAACTAAAATTAACTGAATTTTTGAAAAATTTAGATTACAGTGGTTGTTTTTGGTTAACTTCGGTTAAATTTGGTATTAGTGAATCCGGTTTGAATTTTGTGAAAATCTATGTAATTTTTGTATAATCTAGTTCTTGAAAAAAAATTATGCCATAAATTGATCGTTACAGCCTGAAACGAACCTAAATTCTCGGATCGGTACAACCGAGAGATTTTGGTTTTTTAGGTTAGGTTATATATCCCGATTTAATTTTTCGTGGTCATTCGAATAGTATGTTAGTGTTTCTCTGTTAGACATTGCGAATTTCAGAGAATTTTTTAGGTTTCGACGTATAATCTGAAATAAAATCCGACCCGAATCAGTTTCGGTTACTTAGTAAAACCTGATTGATTATTATATATAATGTGATTTGATTTTGGATCGGATCGAACTATGACCAAAATCTGATCGAGTATCAACTATACCAAAACAATTTATAAATACTACTATTTTTAGCTCATTTCGGATCAGATTAGTTAGGTAATTCGAGTAATTCATATATTTCGAATTTCATTGGATAAAAATTAAAATAATCCGGATATTTCTAGTAATTTAGTTCTAAATCTGAACCGGTAATCGAAATTATGTATGTTTTGATTACTATGGCTTTTCAATAAAATTTGTAAATCAATCTAATTCTAAAAAAATGCCATCCAGTCCAAAAATCTAAAGGCTGAGGCCTACAATTTTCTCTTTTCAAGTGCCATTGTTGATACGATCAATATATAAAAAGCAAGGTTAAGCTACAATGTCTAGGTATTAAGAAACACAAATATTTTTTTAGTAAAATGAAAAGAAAAATAATATGTACATAAATTATGTTAAAGAAAAGCAGGTCCATAAAATTGTTAAGTGATAAATGTGTTTTACCCATCAAATTTTTAACATGGGTCCAAACACTTCTTAAATTTGTTCAAGAATCTATATCTCACTAATAGTAGTCACTTAGGGGGATGTATTCAAAGTGGAATTTAAAGAGATTTGTGTAGAACTTTCAAATCCAGTATTATTCAAACATGGTTTTTAAAAAGTTTCATGAAATTCACTATTATTGAACTAATGATTTCAAAATTCACCTTAAAATCCACGGTTATTGAAAACAATTTGTGGATTTAATTTTTAATTATTTTGAAGGATTTGAGAAGATTTGAAAAGATTTACTTATAGTTAAAAATACAGAAATCCAAATCTCATGGTTTTAGGTAAGATTTGAATTTTTTTTTACAAAATTTATATGAATTTTCCTAAAATCATCAAAATCATTTAAAAGCTCAAGAAAACTCAAATCTCATAAAATTTAATTTTGAATACACCCCCTTATATATTCATGCATTTAAAAAAATACATATACTACCTACATTTTTCCACAAAAAAAAATCATAAACCTTTTAAGAATCTGATATTTTTAGTATTATATAGAATATTAATTAATAGTATTTTATAGAATATTAATTAATAGTATTGTAATTCTGTCAAATATATGAGATATTTTCTTATACATAGTAGGAATTTTAAATAAATAAAAAAGAAAAAAATCTCTTTCTAATAATTAACTTCTAATGGACATCATGTCCCCAAGTAAAGTAATATTTTAGCATAATTCAGCAGAATTTATTAATAAAATCAAATTCATATACATGTCAGACACAAACAAAACAACACTAAAAATAATGATACAAAATGAGCACAAGTGTTCATCTACTAGTACTTTATAATGTCATAATCTATAAAATACAAAATGGATTATTAAAAATTAATTTAAAACGCGTATAAAACCGTGTGAATGATTTTGTGACAACCAATCAAACCGTTAATGTGAGATTACGATATATATAAAGTTAAGCAGATACGAATTAAAAGAAAAATAAAATAATACCTTTAAAAATTCATAAAGTATAACAAACACGTGGCAGATAAAATTAATAATTGCTTAAGGGATATTTTGGTATATACGGACAGGCCACGTCGTGTCCTAAAACCTCTTCTTTGTCTTTATAAGTCAATCTTGCGTCGGCTTCGACTCTCAACATATACACACACTGAGTAAAGAAGAAACAAAGAAGCAAGAAACAATGGCGACTCTTAAGGTTTCTGACTCTGTTCCTCATCCTTCTGAAGATGCTGAGCAATTGAGAACTGCTTTTGAAGGTATTGTTTTGTTGTGTTCTTTCTTGTTCTTGTTCTCTGTTTTTTTTCTTGATCTTGATTATGTTCTTGTCTACCTTATCATCATCAGTATCCCACCTTTTGTAATAATGATGAATCTGTTGTCTTTGGTTTGCTACGATCATTTGTTTTGATGTAGATCGAACTTGGTTTTGGTCTGATCTTGTTTGATGTTTGTGTCGGTAGTGTTTTCTTACAATCATCATCTGTTTTGATGGTTGTAGATCGAGGTTGTTCTTTCATGGATCGGATGATCTTGTTTCTTTGTTGGATCTATAACAATCTTTTTGGTCTTGTAATGATTTGATCCTTTTGTTCTTTGAACTTTGATTTGTATGATCATGTTGATACTGATGATGATGATAACGTTCACACTACATCTTGATTTCGTTGTTTTGGTTCTTACACTCACAGATCTGTGTTCTTGGTCTAGATCTGAAATGTAGTTTATGATGTGATGATTGTTTTTGTAGTTCAAGATCTTGAGATTTATTTATACTTTGAATCGTGATCACTTTTGTTGCTATGGATCTGTAGTGTGTGAGTTTCTTGGATCTGTTATATGACTATGATGCTTATGTAAAGTGGAATGTTATTCGTGTTTTCGCAGGATGGGGTACGAATGAGGATTTGATTATATCAATCTTGGCTCACAGAAGTGCTGAACAGAGGAAACAGATCAGGCAAGCATACCATGAAACCTACGGCGAAGATCTTCTCAAGACTCTTGACAAGGAGCTCTCAAACGACTTTGAGGTTCGGATTTCGAACTTTTTATGTATCTGTTTTTATCATTTGTGTTAAGTCATTGTATCCTTATTGGTTTTTGGTAATGCGTAGAGAGCTATCTTGTTGTGGACTCTTGAACCCGCTGAGCGCGATGCTTTGTTGACTAATGAAGCTACCAAAAGATGGACTTCAAGCAACCAAGTGCTTATGGAAGTAGCTTGCACAAGAACTTCAACGCAGCTGCTTCACGCTAGGCAAGCGTACCATGCTCGTTACAAGAAGTCTCTTGAAGAGGACGTTGCTCACCACACTACTGGTGAATTCAGAAAGCTTTTGGTTCCTCTTGTTACTTCATTCAGGTATGAAGGGGATGAAGTGAACATGACATTGGCTAAGCAAGAGGCCAAGCTGATCCATGAGAAAATTAAGGACAAGCACTACACTGATGAGGATGTCATTAGAATCTTGTCCACAAGGAGCAAAGCACAGATCAATGCTACTTTCAATCGCTACCAAGATGATCATGGCGAGGAAATCCTCAAGAGCCTTGAAGAAGGAGATGATGATGACAAGTTCCTTGCACTGTTGAGGTCAACCATTCAGTGCTTGACAAGACCAGAGCTTTACTTTGTCGATGTTCTTCGTTCAGCAATCAACAAAACTGGAACTGACGAAGGAGCTCTCACTAGAATTGTGACCACAAGAGCTGAGATTGACTTGAAGGTCATAGGAGAGGAGTACCAGCGCAGGAACAGCATTCCTTTGGAGAAAGCCATCACCAAAGACACTCGTGGAGATTACGAGAAGATGCTCGTCGCACTTCTCGGTGAAGATGATGCTTAATCAACAAATCCTCCACAGAGAAACAAAAGCTGATGCTTTAGTTTCTGTTTTCTCTTCTCTCTTTCTCTCTCTTTGATGAGTTTCAAATCGTTTGATTCTGTTCTTCCAAAACCTTGATTGTTGTTTCTGTTGTTTGTTTTGAGTTCCTAAAATAATGCAAAAGAGAGACAGAGAGACAGTGTGGTCTCTTAATATATATAAAGAGTAATAGCCTAAAACACAGACTAACAAGTAGTTCTGGTTTGATAAGTTGTTGTCACTACAAAAAGGAGACCAACAACAAAAACATCAAGGGCATTGTCTTCTCTAAAGCCCTATACGATCTTGAAACGCAATTTAACAACAACAACAGTTTTCAGATACTAATTATAGTCACTTCTTCAAGTTGGTCTTGGAGAAAATCTTCTTGCAGTAAGGGCTCGACCATAGTTTCCCGAACCGAGAAACCTTCTCTACCAATCTTGCACGAACAGCTCTCTGAGTCATCCCCAAAAGCCATGTCAAGTTCTGTTTTTGAAAACTTATAAAACATGTATTGATTTGGACTTACTTTGGTTACAGAGAGAGCAGTTTGGATCACATAGTTTGCATAAGGATCCTGCAGAAGATACTCAAAGTTTGGAACAGAGAGGAGCTCACGAACAATCTCACCTCGACTCTCTGGATACGTCCTTAGACACTTTTCAATGACATGGCTACTAAACTTCTGAGTCGCTAGCTCGGCGTAGTGTGTTCTAAACTGAACTAGTAACTTCACTGAAGGAACTTGTTGGTCTATTAAGTATTGCACCACATAGTTCCTGCCAAAATTTCATTAACTATCAGGAGAGTTCTACAAACTATACCAAATCATTGAGTCTGCAGTGGAGATTTAACTTACCCAAAAGGATCCTGAGAAAGGTGAAGTGAGTTTCGAGATATCTCAGCGACGAGTCTCTCACGTAGCAAGCCAGTAGAGTTTGAAAGGCAGCATTGGAGAACACAGCACCCATGACGATGAACTGCAATCTCCGCACAGTGTTTTGTCGCAGCTTCTAACACAAACTGACACCAAAATCACATCATTCATCAGAGCTTAAGTAAGAAACAAATGATGGAGATTAATATGTTAGAAAAATCTCAGCTCATTACTTAGTAGCAGCATCTAAACACCAAATTTTCAGAACATTCATTTGAAAATAAAGAAACAAAGATGATGTGACAGCAATTAAACCTTATTGTCATTAGGACCAAATGACTCCAAGCAGCTCTGTAAGACATGGTTCCCATTCAAATCTTTAACAAGAACTTGAAAGCCAGGTTTGAGACCAGACTTCACCAAAGCAATCTGCTCTTTTGTCTTCACAGTTTCAATCATCTTCTGCACAACCCTTGTCCTGTTTAAACACATTAACAAGAAATTAGAATTCAAAAACGCATTATCCACAGACAAATGAGAAAACTAGCAAAATTCTAATCTTTTGTCCAATGGTCTCAGCTTCTTGAAATCAGAAACAAACGCATTTATAGGTTTTTGTCCAAAGGTCTCAGCTTTATTTCCTAGCTTCCTACAGTTTGCAGTTTTGGTTTGTCCAAAAACAGCAAAAAGCAAAAAGCAAAATCCATCCTTTTCAACCAAATGATGCCTTCTTACAACGATAGCGATGGCTTAAACCTTATACAAAACTATGCAGAGATTTCAAATATTTCCATAAACAGCACCGATTCAGTTTCTTTTTCTCCAATAACAAGAAATATTTGACCATATTAATGAGCTTTTAAAACTTTGGTTTCATCAAGAGGATAGAGAAAAGCTTACCCATAAGTGTTGAGGCAGATTTGGATAAGCTCCTTTGGTTCTGAGGTTAACACAGTCACAATCAAAGTTCTATGTTCTTCATCACTCACTTCTAAGAGCTTCTGAACAAAGTAGTTCCCAAACGGATCAGTAGAGAGCTCAATGAAATGGTTAATGATCTGATGGATTATAATCTTCGAATCAAGAAATGTTCCTTCTTCGACTAGTTTCTGCAGTACACGACAACCAATCTGATCTTTAGCCATTAGCTTCACAGATCCGTATATGTTAACAATGGAGTCAAGACACAGAGGCAAATCACTTTTGATCTTTGGTTCTTCTTCCTTTAAATACTTTCTCATCTCGTGAAACGGTCTTAGCTGAGTAAGCTCCTCTGTGTAAAAAGCTCTAGAACCTTCCTTGGCGGCGGCGGTTAGGGTTTGAGAAACATTGTTTCCTCTAAATGGATTGTTCCCAAGAGAGCCTTGACCATCCTCTGTGTAAAAAGCTCCGAGCTTTCCATAAACTTCAGCTCGACAAGAAACCCTGTTTCCTTCAAACATCTGAGAGACGCCTCTGAGACAAGGTGAAGGCTTTATGGGTTTATGAAAAGCCATAATCTCTTCAAACCCATTAGGGTTAAAGGAAGCTTGACGACCAAGGAAACTATGATCTCCATTAAAGGTGTTGTTTTGGTGAAAAGCTTGAGAAACAGAGGAAACGTTGTGATACCCATCATGAATCTGAGAAGCTCCACTCAGATTCTGCTCAAACCCATAAGACCCATGAAGAGTTGTAGACCCAAAACCACCCGGGTCGACCCGGAACTGTTCTTCAGGTTTGGTCCAGATACTCATATCACATGAGATACCCATTTTGTTCAGCTTCATACACAAATCAAGAGCCTCACTGCTCTTGTTGTAATAACTCTGTAAAAACCCATTAGAACCAAACTCAGGAAGACGACAATGATCTGAAGCTTTCCCCAAGTTAAAATCTCCAAAACCCATAAAACTCTCTTTAAACATCGAGATCAAAAACAGAGTAAAACGAAACGAAGAAGAAGAAGAGAGAGAGAGAGAGTAGAGTAAAACCAAGGAAACAATACGGAGAGAGAGAGGATCGTTAACAGAGCTTAAGAAATGGTTTGTGCGAGAGAGAGAATGTTGTGTGGTGTAGTGTACGGAGAGGCCTTCACGTCCAAGGCTGAGTTTGTCTCTTTTGTCGTTTTTTTCGCCATTAATATGTAACAGAGCCTCCTCCAACTCTACTTTTTGCAGCCTGCCTAGGATTGTTTATGAAATTACTGTTTTGTCCCTTTCGTTTATTTTGGTACTATTTGTCTCTTCATATAGTATACACTATACAACATCATATAGTCTAGATCTAAGAGCAAGATTATCAAAGGATCTTAAATTTTAGTCTTAGCATTAGTTTATAATAAATTTGAAAAAGTAAAGGGTAAGAGTTGTTTTTGTGATTTTAGCTTTGAGAAATATTTATTGATAGATTCTTAGGGGGGTGTATTCAAAGTGCAATTTCAAGTGATTTGTAAAAAGTTTACAAATTCTGTGTTATTCAATTATGGATTTTAAAAAATCTTATGAAATCCAGTGTTATTGAACTAGTCATTTTAAAATCCACCGTAAAATCCACCGTTATTGAAAACAGTTTGTGGATTTCATTTTAAATGATTTTAGAGGATTTAAGAGGATTTCAAGGAACTTCTTTAGTTAAAAATACAAGAATCCAAATCTCATAGTTTTAGGTGAGATTTGAAAGGATTTTACATAAATGATATGAAGTTTCGTAAAATCATCAAAATCTCAATAAAACTCAAATCTCTTAAAATACTACTTTGAATACACCCCTCAAGTAGTTTGGGGATCTTAGAAAAAAATATTTATTTAAAAGTTAAATTAAAATTAAAATTTTTAATTTTAGAAAACTTTATAATTATTGCAAATTTAAACTTTTAAAATATACATAAGATGTAGCAATTTCTAATTTAAAGTACAATAGTGGTAAGTTTGTAAGAACAAAAAAAATATATGAAATTGGTGTGAAAATAAATATGAAGGCTTGAACTTAAAAGAGAATGACCAATTAAAGTATAAAAAAATTCCATTTAGAGAAAGAGAGAGTGAGAGAGAGAGGGAGAGAGAGAGGGAGAAGGAGAGAGAGAGGAAAATGAGATAATTGTTTTTTTTTAATAACATCCAATAAATTCCTGCCACGTTGACGTATCTATTCATCCTATTAGCATCTTAAGCAAGATACGTTTGTTACATATTAATTGCTGATTTTGATTTAAATTTTTATCTTAATTCATCTAAGATATGGCTAAGAATCGCTCGATAATGATGGTCTACACCAACATTAACCCAGTAAAAGAGAACCGAGAAACCAATCATATAAACCAATCACATTAACCCAATTGTTTAGTTGTTTCTTTTTTCTTTTCTTTTGTTCATATTGTAATTTTCCCTTAATTTTTTTTGGGAATTTAATGGAAAAAACCCTCAAAATTAGCCGGATCCATTTTTAAACCTTCACCTATTTTTTTAGTAAAACAAACCCTGAACTAAAATCCGCTAATGAATTTAACCCTCCACTTACGGTTTCTGTCTATAATAATGCGTTGTTGTTTTTAATTATATAAAACGACGAAACATTTTTTTAACCCAAAAACAACAAGATGTTTTCTTAAATGATTTTGAATTTAGAAAAAAAAACGACTTGTCATCTTGGAATTTATAAGAAAAACAACAAGATGTTTTTTTAAAACTAAAAGAAATACGAGTTCCCGGCTAGTGTTTTCCAAAGAGACTAGATATCCTAAAATAAAGACTCGTCAACATTAACTTTGAAGAGAAGATTGTATTGGCTGACTGGTAGGGATTATGGTCTATCTTTTATTGGTTGTTTGGTTCTTTTCCTTGGATAATGGTTGAATGTGCTTGTGTGTATAGCCAGTGGTGGTATGATTGCCTCACTAAGTATTTATGAAATACTTATGCATCTCTTTCGTTGATGCAGGTAAAAGCAAAGTGTGATCCGTGGAATCATGGCGAGGAGAGGAGGATGATCTAGGCGCTCATTGGTGTTTAGATTATTGTAGAATTTGTTAGGATGTTAGAACGGAATTTAGAAGCATGTTAGGATGATTTTGTTTCTGGAATAATGATAGTTGAACTTGTAAGATTAATGGAATTGTTTGATTGGATTTTTATTTAAGTCTTCCGCTGGTTACGTTGAATTGGTTGTGTTAGTGAGATTGTCTGGTTTGCTTTAAATGGGTTAATCCGGGTTGTATGTTTTTAAAAGAAAAAAATTGGGATGGGTTTTTTCACCCGCCAAATTTTCCCGCCGAAAAATTCCGCCAAAATTTTTCCCGCCAAAATTTTTCTCAATTCCTTTAAAAATCTTTTAAAAAACCTTGTAAATATTTTTAAATCCCTTAAAAATCTTTTTAAAAACCTTGTAAATCTTTTAAAAGTCATCCAAAACCTTTCAAAACTTGAGTTAACCTTTTAAAATCAATTTTAATCATTTTATAACATTTATAAACACTTGTAAATCCCTTTAAACCCCTTATAACCTTGATAAATCATTTAATAAAAACTTTTATAAACTTCTTAAACCCTTTAAAAACCCTTGTAAATCCTTAAAAACCATTTTAAAGAACTTGTAATACATTTAAAAACTTTTGTAAACCCTTTTAAAACCTTTGTAAACTTCTAAAACCCTTTAAAATCCCTTGTAAATCTTTTAAAACTATTTTTAAATCTTTTATGCCTTTAAATACACTTGTAAATCCTTTTTAAAAACCTTTAAAAATCCTTGTAAATTTTTAAAATCCTTTAAAAATCCTTGTAAATCCTTTTAAAATTGTTATAAACTTATTTAAAATTGTTACCATTTAAAACCATTTAAAAACCTTTGTAGGCTTCCAAAACCCTTTAAAAACCATTACAAATCGTTTAAAAATCATTTAAAAACTCTTGTAAATCCCTTTAAAAACACTTGTAAGCCCTTTAAAAGACCCTTTAGAAAATCTTGTAAGCACTAATACAAAAAAAAAATTTTGCGGGAAAATTTTTCTCAGAATTTTTTTTTGCGGGAAAATTTTGGCAACATCTTACAAAAATAATTAGACCTCTACTAACTCTCAATCAATGACAATGATGGTGTCTTCATGAGTGCATCTTCGACTCTAACTCTATTTTGACTTTTACTCTATATAATTGTAAGCTATTTTCACTGTCGTTCATCATATTAGCACTTAAGAGAGGTTAGGGTTTCATGATTTGGAGATTTTCATGGGCACTACTCGGTGTGGTTTATGACAAGCGAACTTCATGTGGTTTTGGCGTTAAAAACAAAATGCTACGTCGTTTTGTTTCAATAAAAACAACGACGCATTATTATAGACAGACACCGTAAGCGTAAAGTTAAATTTATTAACGGATTTTAGTTCAGGGTTTTTTTACAAAAAAAATAGGTGAGAGTTTAAAAATGGATCCAGCTAATGTTGACAAACAAAGAAGCATTTTTTCAGCTTAAGCACCAATTTTCTTATCACATGAGTTTGTTTCTTGGTCTGAAACTATTGTTAGATATACCGCTTTCTACTAGCACTTCTTACATCTCCACCAGTGTACTCAAGGCTGGCTCTTACATGTCTCCACTCCTCTTGGTCGAATACTAAAAACAGATCTCGAATCTTCTTGAATAATTCCAAAATTCTAATATCCAACAATAATCCTGCGACACAAACCATGAATATATCTAGATACAGTTAATTCACAGCTTGAATAGTTGATTACACATAGGGCCAGGAAATGAAACCAATGAAACATTTACTACCTATGTACCTTGTTAGTGTCTTGCAGCTGGAGATTCGTACCCTTGAGTTAATGTCTCGGACTAGGATGGTTCTTCCCTATTTGGTGATGACAACCTTTCTTTTGCTTGCAAATTCACAAATTGTTTGCTATGAACTAATCATATTGGACTTACCAAATCACACACATTCAACTCCACCACCTTAATAAAATCATATTCTACAGCTTTTACTAAAAACATGTCTTATCTTTTCCATTTGACTTCAAGTGCAGATGCAAAACATCTTCACTAACAAACATCGTTCTGTAATATCATAGAAATATGCAGCAAACTAACATAAGCAGACCGTATTAGATATGATACCTTCACTAAACCTTGCTTGATACAAATGAGAGCATAATCGTCTTTTTGCACCAAAACATGGATAGTTTTAAAAATGCTTCTCTTAGGGAAGTATTTTTAAAAATGTGATCTCAAAAAATGAGTAGTTTTAAAATTGTTCCCCTTTTTTTAGCCATCTTATCAATCATTTACTCTTTTTCTAATATATTAATTAATTATATTTTTTATTTTTTTTCTATAGTTCTAATTTATGACGATGATTTGATGGAAAAGCTGAACAATCTTTTCGACCTGAACCATCAAATCATTGTAATTTTTATTTAACTATTTTTAGCCATCTTATCAATCATTTTACTCATTTTTCTAATATATTAATTAATTATATTTTTATTTTTTTTGTATAGTTTTAACCTTTTGAACAATCTTTTCGAATAAGTTTTGTATTTAAAGAAGAAGATTTGTTTGCATAGAAAATCTGAGATAAAGTAAAGATAACGATCAAACTGGAAGTAAAAAAAGAAAAGAGAAACAATTTTTGGTTTTCTCCTAAAAATGACTTTTTGTCAACAATACGAAGAATTAGCTCACGAGCCAAGTGGGGGATTAATAATAACTTTTCAATATTTATTTTCGTCAATTTGTAACCAAAAACATATAATTATTATTTCAGAATTTTAAGTTAATGTTTTTTTTTGTAATTTTAAGTTAATTTTTAGACAAGAAATGAACTGGCATTAATTTCCTTGTTTAAAATCATAATCAATTTGTTAAATGTGTCGTTAAAACTAATTTTAGTGGTATTTGTAATTCTACTTCTTAATCGGCCAGTTCTCATTTTAATCGTTCGGTTCTCATTTTAATTGGTCGGTTCTCTTTTCTTTGACTTTGGAATTGATCGGATC